ATGCCACATGTTGATGCTGGAGCACAGGATGCTCTCCACTGCACACCTGTAGGAGGTGAGGACTGAGCTTCCCAGACCAGCTCGTCTCAGCCGCCTGAGGAAGTAGAGTCTCTGATGAGCTTTCTTGATCAGGCTGGTAGTGAAGACCTCCAAACTTAGAAGAGCATAAAGAATGATTAATAATTAGTATATAATAATAATAATAAGAAGAATTAGTCTATATCCCAGGTATCCACCGATTCCAATGTCAATCTGACATTTATTTTTTGGTGTGAGCAGTATGCATGTGTGTCCAAGAGTTGTGTGTAAAGGCGCAGGCTGTGTTAGTACCAGAACTCATCGTTTCCTAATGCTGGCAGATTTTGTAAGATGGCAGTCTATTTTGAGGACAGGTGGGGTTTCACACAGTGTGTGAGTGCTATTGATGGCTCCCACATACCCATCATCGCACCACCACAATATCACATGGACTATTTAAACCGTAAAGGCTGGCATTCCATGATCCTTCAGGGAGTGGTCGATGGGAAGGGCCTATTTTGGAATGCCTTTCCAGGTCAGCCAGGGAGCTTGCAAGATGCACATGTGCTTAGGCTGTCTACACTGTGGGAACTAGCCATCCATGGAAACCTCTTTCCATCTCACACCAGAAACATTAGTTCTGTCACTGCAGGTACTATAGCCTTCGTGATTCAGCATACCATTGCAGGACTGGCTTCTGAAATCATTCATGGACACCGAATGTCTGTCACTGAAACAACCAGTTGTTAACCATTAAATCAGTCAAGCACTGTGGTGGAAAATGCTTTTGGATGACTGAAAGGGCTGTGGTGTTGTTTCCTTAAAAAGAATGAGTGAGACAAAGAGATTGTAAAAACAATGGCACATGGTACACGGTTAACCCTCACACTCAGCCACCCCTGCTTTGCTGCTGCAGCTTGAACTGCTGAGTGTCACTCGCTCTTCTTCTATCTCCTCTCTTCTTTACTTTATGTGTACCTTAGTCTAAGATAATGGGGATGGGGCATATGTGTGTTTATTTTCATGTGGTTTGACTCAACATTAGCTGTTAGCTTGGAGAAACAGAGGCCTTTGCCAATGGCATGAGAACGTGTCCCCATGAGGAGGAAATGGTTAGAATCACTCAGGACTTAGTCAGAGTGTTTTGTTCACTGAGCAATACATGTTGTTTATTTGCAGTGAATGAATCACATCACATTCGCTCAGGCATCAACAACAGCCCCTCCCCACCTGCACGGCACACGCCACTGTGTCACTGTGTCATTCAGATTTACATCACGTGTGAGTTACAGAATGCATACGTTTCTCTCCCGACCAGAATGTTCATGCTAAGATAAACTGAACTGAGAAAGGAACTAATCAATGAGTGTGCTATATCTTGTCATTATTGTTTGTTCCCGTACAATGATGAAACTGGTTCTCTGCATTTAACCTATCCCACCTGGGATGACCCAGGTGGAGCAGTGTGCAGCTATTGAGCACCTGGGGAGCAACTAGGGATTGGGTGTCTTGCTCATAGACACCGCAACATGTGAGAATGGCTGAGATTCTAACTGCGACTTTCTGGTCCCAAGTTGGCTGCCCTAACTCTACTCCATCTCGGGCCCTGAATAAAGTGATTCAGTTTAATTTGTTCACTCTAAAGATTTGTTCATCTGAACAAATCTTCCATGAACAACACAACACTACTCTAGGACCTTTTTAACCAGACTGATTAGTTCCTCATTGTTTTTTGCCTCCCGGTGCTGTATGTTCAACTCCTCTCATCTGAATGTGCTGTCTTGGTTGCGAGCTTTGTAAGTATCTGTAAGCATTCAGTCAAAATAAAGATGACGTTGGGCCCTGTACTGCTCCTCGTGCCTGTCTTTCATCTAGTTTATGTGCAGTTAAGTGCAAACGACTATTATGAAACAAAACCCAATTGAAGTGTGAAATTAGACTGTTTAACTATCTAGTGTGTAGCTAGTTAACCACACAAGCTATCTAGTTAGCCAGAGAGTTTTAAAGATGGGAAATATGGAGGAGTTTAAAGGGAGATGTTGAAGCAAGATGTATGTCTGTAGACCAGAACAACACACTTCTTCCAAACGCAGTTCGCCCACGGTACACTTCGCGTGAAGCTCGTGACGACTCTTTACCTTGGCACAGGATGGGTCCGCTACGGTCAAGAGGTCCCTGGCACGCTACCTTTCAGCGTCTCCTCAGGGCGGCTGCGACTCGGCAGAAGTCGTGAGATACTCCGTTCTACAGAATAAACTTCCTCAGAAGTTGTAGGGCATTCGCCTGGCGATAGTCACAGCGAGGCGCCGTGACCACAGCAGAGATGGATGACTCCATCAGCCTGGAAAACTGAGTCCGAAGTTCCACTCAGCAGTGGAAAAA